GATTTTCGAGATGTTATTCATCCGAGATAGAAGACCCACTCTCAAGCGGATTCCATTCGTGCACAATTACAACGCACTGAATATCGAAGAGCCAGTTTGGAAGAGCACTTATTGCGTAATACTCTGAAACCATAACCACAATCGTTATTTCGAAGTATCCTTACGTTCTTTTAACAAATACAGTTATAAAACTTCACTTCTTTCAGAGGGGGACTGGGGATATTGGGTGGTACCCAATACCGCAATACCATAACAAAAATTGGCAAATACGGAAATACAGAAACCGCATTTATGATTGGTTACGCTTACTTAAACTAAGTTGTATGCACCAAAAATCAACCTTAGCCATTGCGAGTAAACGTGAGAAGACCTCGAATTTATCGGTGTATAACGATCGAAAAGCCCGTGTCATTAGATGAAACAACAATTCCATAATAGATTATCTGTCACCAATTGGGTATATCACCGCTAAGTCTAAAGTAAAGTTTTCTAAATATTGGCCTACATTAGACAGGGGAACGCAAATGAACGGTACCGAAATACCATGAAGGATCTTCTTTTACTTAATACCGTTAGCCAGAAGGATAAAAAACCGCATACCGAAGGGCTAGATGATACCGCAATACCGCACTGATTAAAATCACAATTACCGAAATACCGCTTGAAAAACAAGTCAATACCGTAAACCGCCATGCCCCCTTCCTTTCGAGTATCCAAAAGCATAAAAAAATAAAATGAACAGGCGTTTAAATACAACAGCCAGCGCGGTGAATACAACCTGGAATATAGCTCAAGGGACCTCTTTTGCAGAAATGCTCGTGGTGAAAGACCAGCTTGAAAGTTTCAGTCTTGTGTGCAGTCTTGCAATCGAACTAAAAAAAACTTGCATTCGTTTCGCATCAATTCATTGTGAAAATTGTCGTGATATAGGAAACCAAATAGAGTCGAACCTCCATTTGCGACCAACTCTCGTTAGCGCCCACCTCCCTTAAGCGACCACTTATCCAAAACACAAAACGTTTCTCCGTCAAAACCAGTTGGAATCTCTTGTAAACGACCACCTCCTGTTAACGCAAAAGGCCGCGACCACTTTTTGGTGCTGAGGGTTTTATAAGTGTTTAACCTCTTGCAAGCGACCAACTGATGTATAGTCTGATCTCTATGTTCGCTCTATTTACTATGCTACTCAAAAAATACGAAGAGCTTTTGGTGACAACATGAAACTAAACATATAGTATCTTAGAATTTGCCTGCAGTAAATTATTCTGCATAAAGTATATGATTCCGGTGGGCCTCTTCTCGGAAAAGATTCCCTGTGGTTTGATAGAAAAGAGAAATATTAGGCATTGATTTACTTACTTAAAAGATAAGATTATTCTTTGTGAGATTGTGTTCAGCTGGCACTTTGAAGTCCCTTGCTTTGGTTCCACAGTCTCTCTTAGCTTGTTGTTAGCCAAGCATAAAGAAGGACGCTTTCTTTCAGTGTTTCTGCAAATTCTAGTAATCCTCTGTCGCCCGGGGGAGGGGGGTGACCCCAGGATTAAGCCCCTGTAGGAAGCCAATCTGGGCTTTATTTGACACATAATGGAGGAGAACATTATGGAACAGCCAACCAAATAAGAGCTGGTAATAATAATATTTCATACTTCTATAGCGTATTTTAGCATAGGTATATGATCAAATATGCATACACGAAAATGAGACTTAGACAGAACAAAAGTTGACTGTACTGAAACTATTTACAGTCACTTGCAACATCAATAATTTAGCATGGCTAAAAACGAGCAAGAGATAAAAAAGGAAATAAGAGTAGAAAATAAAAGAATCTCTGAAAACTTAAACAAAGTCAACGTAGGCTTCTCTAACAGCTACATTGATATCAATTTAGTTAAAGGATATTTCTTTGTTGTTTCTTTTTTATAAGAAGATATTCTTTTACGCAAAGCTTGCTGAAATTCTGTAATTTACACCTCTAAGTGAGACGGCAAGCTCCCCGTCTCTTTGAATGGAAGTCTCCCCCCGGATCAGCCTTAGGCAAATGGCGTCATACAATTCAGGAATTTGACACTATGAACTTCTAAATATAAATAGGATTACAATCCATAATTTACATGTTAAGTGAGACTCCATTCTAGGATCCACATATTTAGAGTTAAACGGTTAATAGAGGAGTAAAGGACAGCGAAAATGGCGCGGAAAAACAGCGGGCAAGGTATCGATTCCGCTCTGATCTCAACTCAGTATCAGATAAAACCGTCGCTTGTCTGGAATGCCGCGACTGAGTAAACCTATTGAGAACCCTCTATACTCCCCAATGGTCATCATTTGTGACCTGGTTGTGAGCTTTTAAATGATGCTTAGTCTTCTATTAGCTATACGCAACTCGTTGCATAATTACACAAAAGATGGGCTGTGTATTACACTACCGTAATAAATTATTCTTAGCCTGAATTTCAGTGGTCTCTCCAAGTGGCAAACTCCCGAGAAGGACGGCGACTCTTTCGGGAGTTTGGGACTCGAGGAGACCGCTGAAAATTCAGGGTGTAAATGATTACTGGATTGCCATCAATAATTTGCAAACTCAATAATTTTTGGAGGGCATTTAACCTGTGTACAGCCACCCCCTCCCCTCAGAAAAAATCGAAGAGGGGGCTCCTTCTCCGATTTTTTTTCCGAGGGAAGGGGAAGGCTATACACACACAGGCTAGCTAGAGAGCACTTTGCATAGTAGACCTCGGAAATAGAGGTGAATGGTCATTGTAGAGAAGTGGCTGCTATGTGCTATGTGGGCGAGGGTTGAGATGCACTATGAGAAAAGATTAGAACTGAGTGGGTAAGGAACATTTTACCGTGCGAAAATAACGACGCGCGTGCCTTCTCTCGCTCAACTGTTTAACTTTTTATTAATTAATATTACAAATTTTAGAGCAAGCTTATATCCAATGTCCGCAGTTAGCAGATTACCTAGTCGAGGCGAGCAGTGGTTACACTATGTTATATATATACAAATAGCTCCCAAGCAAGACTAGAGAAAAAATGTAAAAAATGTTAAATGAATAAAACCCGGCGCGTATTTGCCTCAGTTTTCACTACCGGCTCTGTACTTTACTAGGGAACTTACCAGTAAGAAACGAGAATTTTGACGTACCGGACGTCAAAAATGTCAACCTGCTTTTCTTCTCACTTCCAGTGCTCTGACTAGGCAAATTTGTACAATGGGAGTAATAACAAAGGCATTCAGATTCGTTGTCTTCGACAGAAGCATTCTTTCAAGAACTTATCAAGCGAGATATCAAACTTCGGGTTGCCTTTCATGACGTCCGGGACGTCAGCGTTCTCGTTGCTTAAGCTCGCTACCATCTTGGAGCCTGGAAAAGCTGATACAATTTAGATATCCTATTTAAGGATCACAACGGGAACATAGTGCCAACAAGGGTAAAAATGAAAAAAAAAACAATACTCTATTCAGGATGGAGACCCTCAAAAACTATTGCCTAACGGGCGGCACATACCTATCTAGCGCATATGTAGGAGTATCTCCTGGGGGATTGTCATTCCTGCAAGTTTGTAACTGTCGCAACGTTATTCCTATACATTTTAGGAGGAGTCACCCACAACGTGAGCACTGTTACTATATAAAATCCACGAGACAGGAATGAACGTGATTATTTTGGACAGTTCCAACATACTACAGAATTAGAAAAACGAGGTCGGTCTACTGAATGTAAGCCATTTCTCAGTTACAAGTTAGTTTTCACCTCTGACATCTGAAATTCGGTATCTAAATAGCATTTTTTTTCCGGGCCTATTGGTTATCAGATCAATCGTAGGTACCCAAAGTTTGATGATATGACGCCAACGAATACAACAGTGATTAATGATGATAATGATAATTTACCAGTTTTAAGCGATGCGAGAACGCGCAAGCGAGGGGCTCCTTTGATCTCACGTGCCACTCGCGCCTGACTTCTCACAATACCGTACAATACCGTACAATACCGAAAATAAGCCCCGGGGCTTATATTTTGTAAACGCCCTTTTTGAGGGGCTTAATTTTGGAGGGGCTTATATTCGGAGGGGCTTATCTACGGAGGGAAATTTGCGTTTCAAAATCGATTGGGCTAGCCTTATAGTTGGAAGGAAATTAACCGTTTTTGCTTTGTTTTACTTTGTATTTGAGGGCAATTTCCAAGTACAAGCCCCCGTTTGGAGGGGCGATTTAGCGGGGTCTTTTTTGCGTTATGAGTTTGGGGGGCGTATGTTTGGAGGGGCTTATACATGGAGGGGCTTATTTTCGGAATTTTACGGTATCCCCCAAATGGAGAGCTTGCTTGCAGGCTACGCCTATCTCCTCTTAACGTTCCTTCACATTTGCAAACGCAAACAAAAATTTGCCTTGACGGATTCCGTGCGTCTACGTTCCATGTAAACGGATACACACCGTTCTCGTGTGAACAGTAATGAAATGGGACTGGTGTGACCATAACCTATTGCAGTTGAAGAGCAAACGAAGCCACAGAGTACTGTGCACGTAAGCCTTCGCAGCAAGCGTTTCCGTGCGGTTTCGGAGCAAAGAACGAGGAACGAGAGTCGAAGACTGCGCAAAAAATGGCGCATTTTTTGACTCTCGTTTTATTTCTTGCCCGGTCAAAGCCGAAAACCCCGTTCCTCGGTCTTTCTTTGCCCCGAAACTAAATGGAAACGCTTGCTACGCAGGCTATGTGCACGCTAAAGGGTACTGAGTCTATGCTTTTCTGTTATAGACGAAATACAAACGAAGGCATTCGTTAACTTTTAATTTTGTTTTACTCATTGCAATTTTAGCTCTACTAGCTATACTCATTATACAGCGTGGCATTACCGTAGCATCCTCTACAAAAATATAGAAAACTGAAAGAGAACCGCCCTAACTACTCTAAATTCCGCGATTGCCTTTCCATGGAGACGGTAACTTTTGAGAACAAAGCTGGCGTTTCTTATAGATATAAGCTTGGTAGGAGTTAACCGCGGCGTTGCACATGATTAAGTTCACGGGCCAGCTGACAGAGAACACAAAGTGGACAACACTGAACCACACAATAATCGTCAAAAAGGGAGCCCTGCAATTGGATGAAATGAAGTCAGTCATGGGTGAATTATCCTGTTTTTGGTATTAAAATAATGATTATATGAAAATCACATACAAGAAATGTGGGGTGAAGAATTAAATGAAAAACCATCATTGCAGTTGTAGACGCAACTTTTTGGTATTGTTTCTTTATTCTCTTATAGAGAACTCTGTCCGTTGATACAAAAAAAGGTGAAAAACTTAATAACTAGTTTTTGGTTTCTTCACGAAAATTGGCCCTCATTACCTCCTTTCAAAGTGAAAGAGGTTCTTTTTAAGTCTAAAGGTTTGGTCGAGGCCATAATTAACAAATATATATTAAAGAAAAGTTATACTGCCACAATTTTGCAGTAGTGGCTAAATATAGTCTAAATTAAGTCTAAATATAGACTTTGAAAAATAGAATCTCCGTTGTGGAACGAACCGAAGCTGAAATGGTTGCTTTGATAATATTAACTCGGTGTTGACATACACGAGTGTGCAATGAAAGCGTTTTTAGCACTTATTCGGTACAATGAGATATAAATCAAAAGGTAACAGTTACATATGTGTCTATTATCCGATATTCAAGCGGTAAGAAACATGTGGAAGGTTTTCCAGAGCAATTTTTAAATTGTTTGCGTAGGTATGTAGGGTAACATGTTGCCCCGTAAATTGATTTAGGTGGCAAAATGGTCTTCACGTTTCCGTTTCTCTACGGGACACTTTTTGCGGGCCGCGGAAAACATTTTCACACAACAAAGTATAAAGGATGTGCTTTACGACCATACTAGAACGAGGTTGTTTTTTAAGCTCTTAATGCCTGTCGAATACCTGAATATTCTCCTGCACTCTCAGCTTGATCCTGAGTCCCAACAGTGCACCTGGGCAACAGCAAGGAAAGCAACATCCTTCGCCCATCCTGGACGAAACATCAAATAGCAGGAAGAAAGGACAGAAAAAGCCCATACACACTTGAAACACAAACAAAATAAAATACACGTGGCTGGGTTAGCTCAGGTGGAAGAGCGTTTTTTTGCAGAGCGGGAAGTCGCGGATTCGATTTCCGGATCCGGACCAATACTTGGGGTCTGGGGTCTTAAGAAAACTGAGTAAGAAGGTATTGATAACCACGTAAAAATGGCGGAGCCGTATCCATTAGGCGTGATACGTGACTGAATACTGCCCTCAATGAGTACATTCGAGCAAGAAATACTAACACTTCATAAATAAAGTTATAACTATTCTCATTCGTGTAAAAGCCGCCGCTTGACGATTTTAAAATCAACTAGATTACTGCGTGCTCCCTTGTAAAGCAGTCTATTGGTCCTTTACGGTCCCAAGGGAAATTGCCTAGGCCTTTTATACGCTCTAGCAAACAAATTCCAAAAAAAACCCTTCGAGAAAAGCATTAGTTAGATTTAGAATAAGTAGTCATCAACTTAGAGTTGAAACAGGTAGTTACGAAAAAATCCCTCGCAATGAAAGGATATGTTACTTTTGTACAAGTAACAAAATTGAAGATGAAAATTTACTAGATTGTGAGGCTTATTCTCAGATCAGAGACATATTTTTCTCCAAACTAGAAACTAAAATACCTGACTTCAAATCACTTTCACAAGATACTTTAATATCTCTTCTTATCAATTCTTCTGATTATTTAATTAACTGTCAATTAGTTTCATTTATCTAGCAATGCTTTGAATTAAGAACCAAATTAATATCAATGAATGAATGAATGAATGAATGAGAACTGTAATGTTTTGCACGTACTAATTAGCTGAATTAGTACTTAAATTTAGACTAATAGCTTTTGCAACACTGTAATTCCTTTATGGTCGTGCAAATAAAGCATTTGGTGTTGTTGAATTCGCTGTCTTCTCGCAAGTCTACTGTACAATGGACAAGCAAGTTTCCCCACCCTCCTCCCCTTCAGCGGCTCGGGTAAATTTTCTCTATCAGCCCACAGTATATGCCCTATGCAAAGTTTTTCACCCATAACTTATCCATCAAAAGGTATGGGGTGGCTTTTATGCGAATGTGAATTAGTTACTTTTATCAACGCCACATTAACTCATTTGAGTGCCGCTTAAAGAATACTTACGAGAGCCACAGTCCTCAAAGCAACCACACAGTCCAGTGCTCCAATTCCGTTGTGCCTGTTGCAGCACTACTTGTTGTTGACTCAACACTACAGTGGTGTTGCTAGTCTGTTCTGCATACGGTGCCGGTTGTTGAGTTACCACTGGATACTGACCCGGGGGGTATGCCGGTGGATACATCGCTTGCCCTGGGGAATACGGCTGAGCCATGGGTGGTGCAGTGGGTGGGGGATCCATTATTTAGGCTCTGAAAGGAAAAGTTATTTTAAAACTAAAATCAACGCGTCCCGATATAAAAGAAACTTGACGTTTCGATGGCTTCATGTCATCGTTAGGGAGTACTTGATCTTTATTGGAAAAACATTATAACACATGTATTTCACATAAACTAAACTTTATTATGATGTTATTTTTGAGGAGATCGGAATAAATACCACGTGACCATGGCGTCACAATAGTTTTAGCTTTAAATCGAATTTCTGCCTTTAACGGCATTTTCTTTCGAAATGCTTTACGCTACGTATACTTTGGGTGCTTGTCTTCTGTTGTAAGAAGTTTCACAAAAATCTATACGAGGACTTTCGAGATATCTTTGAATTTCTACTAAAAGGTATAAATTATGTATGAAATGAAGGCTGGATTTAGTGCAAACAAATTTGCTACCTTTTGGATGCTTCCGAAAAGTTTTTATCACTCATTCGTTTTGCACATGACCTTTATGCATTCTACAACCGACTAAACGTAAGTAGACTTGCCCGATTTCGATCAACCATGACAACATGTGAATCAGTCAAACGCAATGCTGAGTTCTTTTTGTAATTTCTAGGGCTACTTTCACGAAATTCGTCGATAGATTTTCTTTAAAAACTTTCAGTGCTGCAATTGATCAGTGTACTATAAAATCCGTGTCCATTGAAAAGTTTTTAAGTTGTCTAACGTAGGCGCAACGTTGATAGCCTGCGTTGCAGGCGTCGAAAGGAGTAAGGGATAGGGAGCGAAGGGGAAAAGGAGGGCCGGGGATTAGGGAGAGAGGGTAAGGGTGAGGTGCTCGCTTAGATATTCTTCCCGACACTGTTCTTTTTCTAATTTTTTGCAAAAAACAATTACAAAACAGCATATTAAGCATATATAGGGGCACCCGATGGATCTGTTCCTCAAAATATCTTTTCTTCAGACAAATTTTTTGCTGGCTGGGAGATCTGGAAAAATAATATGTCCTTGAAAGGAAAGTGTTGCTGGGAAATAGACCATTCAGGGTGTCTGAGCTAGCTCGACCTGATGATGATGAGGGGAGATTCTAGATTTAGTATCTAGAATAGCCTGCTATTGGCTATTTTCAGAAGCCTCTTTCCCCTCCCCCCTACTGTAGGGGTGAATTTCACCCTTAGCCCCCCCCCCC